GGTTCACTCCCCAATTGGCTGCAATGGCAAGAGCTGGGCCGATCCGAAGCCAGGAGCCAGGAGCCAGGAGCTTCTTCCGGGTCTCCCACGCGGGTGCAGGGGCCCAAGGACTTGGGCCATCTTCCACTGCTTTCCCAGGCCATAGCAGAGAGCTGGATCAGAAGTAGAGCAGCCGAGTCTCAAACGAGGGGCCCATATAAGATGCTGGCACGTCAGGCCAGGGCGTTAACCCACTGTGCCACAGTGCCAGCCCCCATGACTGTCTTTTGAACAAAAGTGATTAGTAGGAGTTTGCTGTGTTTCTAGCACTGTTCTCTCATCTTTAGGGATAAATCAATAAACAAAGCAGAAATCCTTGCCCTCACGGCTTTCATTTCAGTGGGGGAAACAATCAAAAGTATGTAAAATACGTAGTCTGCTGGATAATGGGAGTAGCAGGACGGAATAAAACAAGGGAGAATAGGAAAAGTCAGTCTAAGGAGCTGAAATTTTAGGCAGGCAGGCAAGGGAAGGCTCCACTGGGAAGGTAACCTTGAGGGCGCTAGAGAGCAAGACCAGCAGATTGCTATCTGGGGAACAGCATTCCAGGCAAAGGGAGCAGCAAATGTGATGGCCCCAGAATGAGTGTGCTCTTACTGTGTCTAAGCAGCAAGGAGGCTCATGTGGCTGGAGCAGGCCAACCAAGGCGGAGAGCAGAGGCAGTTCCATGAAGTAGTATTGGGAAAGGAAACAAAAATAAAAGTAACCCATCAGGGTGGGCATTTGCAGGGCAGTTAAGATACCACTTGGGATGCCTGTATTCTACCTTGGAGTACCTGTGTTCAAGTCCCAGATCCACTTCTGAGTCCACCTTCCTACTAATGCACACCCTGGGAGGCAGTGGGTAACGGCTCAGGTGGCTGAGTCTCTGCCGCCCACGTGAAATATTTGACTGGGTTCTGGGCTCCTGGCTTCAGCCTGACCCAGTCCCAGGTGTTGCAGCCATTTGGGGAAGAACCAGCAGATGGAAGATCTCTGTCTTCATCTGTCTTCAAGTAAAAAATCAGTTAATTAAATTGAGAAGGAAGAACTCAAACTATCCCTCTTTGCAGATGATATGATTCTTTATTTAGGGGACCCAAAGAACTCTACTAAGAGACTATTGGAACTCATAGAAGATTCTGGCAAAGTAGCAGGATATAAAATCAATGCACAAAAATCAACAGCCTTTGTATACACAGACAATGCCATGGCGGAGGAAGAACTTCTAAGATCAATCCCATTCACAATAGCTACAAAAAACAATCAAATACCTTGGAATAAACTTAACCAAGGACATTAAAGATCTCTACGATGAAAATTACAAAACCTTAAAGAAAGAAATAGACGAGGATACCAAGAAATGGAAAAATCTTCCATGCTCATGGATTGGAAGAATCAATATCATCAAAATGTCCATTCTCCCAAAAGCAATTTATACATTCAATGCAATACCAATCAAGATACTGAAGACCTTCTTCTCAGATCTGGAAAAAATGATGCTGAAATTCATATGGAGACACAGGAGACCTCGAATAGCTAAAGCAATCTTGTACAACAAAAACAAAGCCGGAGGCATCACAATACCAGATTTCAGGACATATTACAGGGCAGTTGTAATCAAAACAGCATGGTACTGGTACAGAAACAGATGGATAGACCAATGGAACAGAATTGAAACACCAGAAATCAACCCAAACATCTACAGCCAACTCATATTTGATCAAGGATCCAAAACCAATCCCTGGAGTAAGGACAGTCTATTCAATAAATGGTGCTGGCAAAACTGGATTTCCATGTGCAGAATCATGAAGCAAGACCCCTACCTTTCACCTTACACAAAAATTCACTCAACATGGATTAAAGACTTAAATCTACGACCTGATGCCATCAAATTATTAGAGAGCATTGGAAAAACCCTGCAAGATATAGGTACCGGCAATGACTTCTTGGAAAACACCCCAGAAGCACAGGCAGTCAAAGCCAAAATTAACATTTGGGATTGCATCAAATTGAGAAGTTTCTGTACTGCAAAAGAAACAGTCAGGAAAGTGAAGAGACAACCAACAAAATGGGAAAATATATTTGCAAACTATGCAACTGATAAAGGGTTGATAACCAGAATCTACAAAGAAATCAAGAAACTCCACAACATCAAAACAAACAACCCACTAAAGAGATGGGCCAAGGACCTCAATAGACATTTTACAAAAGAGGAAATCCAAATGGCCAACAGACACATGAAAAAATGTTCAAGATCACTAGCAATCAGGGAAATGCAAATCAAAACCACAATGAGGTTTCACCTCACCCCAGTTAGAATAGCTCACATTCAGAAATCTACCAACAACAGATGCTGGAGAGGATGTGGGGAAAAAGGGACACTAACCCACTGTTGGTGGGAATGCAAATTGGTTAAGCCACTATGGAAGTCAGTTTGGAGATTCCTCAGAAACCTGAATATAACCCTACCATTCAACCCAGCCATCCCACTCCTTGGAATTTACCCAAAGGAAATTAAATTGGCAAACAAGCTGTCTGCACATTAATGTTTATTGCAGCTCAATTCACAATAGCTAAGACCTGGAACCAACCCAAATGCCCATCAACAGTAGACTGGATTATGAAATTATGGGACATGTACTCTATAGAATACTATACAGCAGTCAAAAACAACGAAATCCGGTCATTTGCAACAAGATGGAGGAATTTGGAAAACATCATGCTGAGTGAATTAAGCCAGTCCCAAAGGGACAAATATCATATGTTCTCCCTGATCGGTGACAACTAACTGAGCACCAAAGGGGAACCTTGTTGAAGTGAAATGGACACTATGAGAAACAGTGACTTGATCAGCTCTTGTCCTGATGGTTGATGTACAATGTAATACTTTATCCATTTTAGTATTTTTTTTGTTTTAGTACCATTAGTTGAACTCTGTAATTAACACACAATTATTCTAAGGTGTTTAAATTTTAACTGAAAAGTGATCCCTGTTAGGAATTTGGAAAACATTATGCTGAGTGAAATAAGCCAATCCCAAAGGGACAAATACCACTTGTTCTCCTTGATAGGTGACAACTAACTGAGCACCAAAAAGGAAACCTGTTAAAGTGAAATGAACACTATGAGAAACGGTGACTTGATCAGCCCTCACCCTGACTGTTGATGAGCAACTTGATATGTTATCCCTCTTAGTATTTTTGTTTGTTTGTTCTACTTAATACTTTTGGTTGAATACTGTAATCAATACACACATTCTTCTTAAGTGCTGAAACTTAACTGAAAAGTGATCACTGTTAAATATAAGAGTGGGAATAAGAGAGGGAAGAGATGTACAATTCAGGACATGCTCAACCTGACTTGCCCCAAATGGTAGAGTTAGAAACATACCAGGGGATTCCAATTCAATCCCATCAAGGTGGCATGTACCAATGCCATCTCACTAGTCCCAGTGATCAATTTCTGTTCACAATTGATCATAATGATAGGACTAAGAACCAAAGGGATCACATAAACAAGACTAGTGTCTGCAAATACTAGCTGATAGAATAAAAAAGGGAGAGAATGATCCAACATGGGAAGCGAGATACACAGCAGACCCATAGAATGGCAGATGTCCTAAACAGCACTCTGGCCTCAGAATCAGCCCTTAAGGCATGCGGATCCGGCTGAAAAGCCCATGAGACTATTTCAGGCATGGAAAGCCAAGACACTCTAGGGAAAAAAAAAAAAACCTAAATGAAAGATCTCCGTGAGTGAGATCCCAGTGGAAAGAATGGGTCATCAAAGAAGGAGGTACCTTTCTCTGAAGGGAGGAGAGAACTTCCACTTTGACCATGGCCTTGTCTAAAAAATATCAGAGTCAGTGAACTCAGGGGGCTTCCATAGCTTTGGCAGCTCATGACAAGAGCCTAGGGTGATTACTGATGCCATAAACAAGAGTGTCAATTTGTTAAGTCAACAACAGGAGTCACTGTGCACTTACTCCTCATGTAGGATCTCTGTCCTTAGTGTGCTGTACATTGAGATTTAATGCTATAACTAGTACTCAAACAGTATTTTTCACTTTATGTTTCTGTGTGGGAGCAAACTGTTGAAATCTTTACTTAATGTATGCTAAACTGATCTTCTGTATATAAAGAGAAACGAAAATGAATCTTGATATGAATGGAAGGGGAGAGGGAGTGGGAAAGGGGAGGGTTGCGAGTGGGAGGGATGTTATGGGGGGGAAGCCATTGTAATCCATAAGCTGTCCTTTGGAAATTTATATTCATTAAATAAAAGTTTAAAAAAATCAGTTAATTAATTAATTTTAAAAATAAATAACCTACCACAACATAAGATGTCAGGAAACATGCTATCGGTTTTTTAAAATATAGGTAATTATCTCCTTAATCTGCACTGTTTATGTTCTCCTTTAAAAGACCTTGTATATGTTTATATATTTCAAAATGTCTTACATATGTTTACATATCTTAATGATATACAATAGAAGAGTCTACAAAATTAAATACCAAGCATAAAGTTAAAAAGAGATAAGAATAAATTGCTGCATCAAAGGACAAGAAGAAAATCATTAAAATATATTTTCCTTGCACATATTGTTTGCTTAATTAGCACTACTACTAATTAATTCCACTTGCATCATTAATCCTACTACTGTTTATTTAAATAATAGCCTTAATTAGCCTATATAGTTCTATTTCTCTTCTGTAACTTAAGTAGTTTATTTAAATTTTTGTTCGTGTACATGTTCAGTTGTCTTCCTGTATCCCCAGGGGATTCTTCCAAGACAGCCAGTGAATGCCAAAATTCCTGGGTGCTCAAGTGCCTTATATAAAATGATTTGCATAGAGCCAGTCCTCCCATATAATTTAAATCATCTCTAGATTACTCATAATCCTGACACAATGTAAATGCTATGTGCAGAGTTGTTATACTGGACTGGATTGTGAATAATCACAAGGAAAAAATCTGTATGTGTTCAGAACAGACGTAATTTTTTTTCTCTTGTATTTTCAACCTGTGGCTGTGGAGCTGTCACATTCAGAGGGCTGACTGTGTGGTCTCTGTTATTCTGCTTTTGAGAGTAATTTAATGCAGATCTGGAATAAAAATCAGAAATAATTCCATTAATTTCACTGGACTTCATAATTACATTTTCTGTTTATGAAATAGAAATAATATACCCAACTAAATAACGTGAATTTGAAGCTAGCAACCATTTTTTGCTAGGAGAGAGATAATATTTAACATTTTATAAGGTAAAGATTGACTGCAATTGAAATAAATATTTCATGAGTGCTTTAATAAAATAGGTACTAACTGCATTATTTAATAATGTACATCCAATCTGAAAGAAATCAGATAAAAGTCTTATCTTTAGCTTTCATTTAAAATGTCTTTTAAAAATTGGTAATCTCAGCTATCATTCCAAATACACTGAAAGTGTCGGTGTTACTAACTTACACTGATTTGCTGTACAAAAGTCTTTTTATTTCTAGCTAATGACATGGCCCTAAGGATCAGTATTGAGACCAGCTGAAAAGACTTGCTAATGTTTAAATTTGAAAAGCTATTTTTTCTCATCAACATTCAGTATTTCACCAACCTTCTCACCAAAATGAGTATTTTACTCCAATCCTCTTCCATTTCTCCTGGGCTGTCCCCCAAGAATGCTGTGTTTTTGTCAAGTCTGGGGATGGAGCCCAGTTCCTTCAACAAAGATGATCACCAGTTCTGTCACTCCACTCCACAAGTGTCAGAACTGAAAACACGTCAATGTGGCCAAAACACCCTGTTTCTAGTGTTGGCTTCACTTTAATAGACATATACTTAGGACAGAGAAAGGGACAAGAAATCTACAAATCATGAACAGCCTTCTGGGTTAGCCTTGGAGATGTTCACATCCTGGAGGCCCCACCCCACCCCCCAGCCTAGAGAGGGAGGACAGAGTGTGTTTCTTTGTTTCTTTTGTATCCCGGGAGAAGGAACTTAGTGATGTCAATCCAGGTGGATTCTCAGGCAGAAACATTTTAGCAAAATGTCCAAACTGGATGTTGAGGATCCAATAGCGGATTCCCTTCAACAATTTTTTTTCCTTGAAAAACCTCTGCACTTGTGTAGGCGAGAGGAGAGGGCAGAGAGGGTGGGCACACATGTCCACAGCTAGTATGCATCTTGATGTCAATCAGAATGAACTGAGGTGAGCTGGTCCTGTGTTGCCATCAGCCACTCTGCAAAGGTGGCATGAAGGAAGTAGAGATTTGCATTGAATCAGGGCTGTGGATTTAACCAACCAAGTATTTTTGAGAATTGACAGTGAATAACAGGGAAAAAAACGGAATGAGAAAGGAAATGCAACACAGTATACTGCTGGATTCTGCAGTAGTGCTTCTATATATAGATAGATTTTAGCTTCTGACTCGTCCTGTCTAAAATAGTCTGTCATGAATCTTGATGAGTTGTTTACCCACATACAGGAGTAAAGGAGATGAAAGTATTTGCCAGGGAGCGATTAAGATGAATGAGCGGGGCCAGCTCTGTGGAGCAGTGGGTTAATGCCCTGTCCTGAGGCGCCAACATCCCATATGAACACCAGTTCGAGACCCAGCTGCTCCACTTCCAATCCAGCTCTCTGGTATGGCCTGGGAAAGCAGTAGAAGATGGCTTAAGTCCTTGGGCCCCTGCACCCATGTGGGAGACCCGGAAGAAGCTCCTGGTTCCTGGCTTCAGATCAGCAAAGCTCCGGCCATTGTGGCCATTTGGGGAGTGAACCAACGGATGGAAGATCTCTCTCTCTCTCTCTCTCTCTCTCTCTTTCTCTGCCTCTCCTCTCTCTGTGTAATTCTGACTTTCAAATAAAATAAATAAATTAAAAAAAAAAAAAGATGAATGGGCATGGCATTTAAACTGGGTGAGAAGAGCAGAGAGGGCCTGAGGGTGGGGAAGGAGGCTCAGTGGAAAGGTGGTAACACCTATTAGAAGCCTTGGGGGTGCTGTTAGAGGTGGGGCCGCTCAGGGAGTGAGCTGAGGAAATGGTGTTCAGAGAACAGGATGATTGAAATGCAGATTGTAGAGAATTTGCTGATTTTGGTAATAAAACCTAGCATACTGCTAGTAGAAATATGTGAGTCACATAATGTAATTTTGTTTTTCTACGATCACATTTTAAAAAGTCAAATGAAACAGGTGAAATTCATTTTAATAATATTTTATTTAATTTATATATCCAAGGTATTATCACTACAACAGACAATAAATATAAAAACTATTAATATATCATATATTCTCTTTTTTTTTGCTATATTTAAAACCAGTGTGTATTTTACACTTAATTTGGCCAAGTCACATGTCAGGTGGTAGTGGCTGATTTTGGACAGCTCAGGCCTGGGGGCTGACCAAGAGAATGAAGCTTGGGGGTAGGTGGAAGACACACTCACTGCAAGAGATCAAGGAACTGAGCACAGGTCATTTCCATGGATATTGAAATCACCAAGAATAATGATCGGAAGAGTCAGAAGCGACCACAAATCACAAAATCTATGTAAATACTGTGCTGTGGCTGCATTTCCTTTCTTATACCTTCCTGTTGCATTATCTGCCTTTCTCACATCTCTAGGTTTTCAAGAATCCCTCTCGGTTCTCTTCTCAGATATTCCCAAGAACTGCAAAGCTGTCCTCCTTAGACGTCTGTGGATCCATATATCCTGCTTATCTAGAAGTCGTGTTCATCCTGGTGTCACAATGATTAAATTGGGTTTGGTATAGAATTCTCAGGCCTTTGATGGAATTCTTCTTTGCTTTCTAGAACTAAGCATTACTGAGAAGTCTGATATCAGGAGCAAGTGTTTGGCCTACCAGTTAAAACGCTGCTTGGGACATCTGCATCCCCTTTTGAAATGCCTGGATTTTAGTCCAGATTCTAGTTTCCTGCTAGTGTGCACCTGGGAGACAGCAGATGATGGCTTGAGTGCTTAGGTTCCTGCCACCTACATGGGAGCACCCAAACTGAGTTCCAGGTGCTGCCTTTGGCCTGGCCCAGTCCCAGTTATTGTGGGCCTTCAGGAAGTAAACCACTGCATGAGAGCGATCTCTCCCTCCCTCCCTCCCTCTCTCTCTCTTTTTCTCTCTCTCTGCCTCTCAAACAAAACAAGTAAATAATTTTAAAAAGAACTTCTGTGTTTTGGAAGAAAGTTAATTCTTTTGCAGGTAACTTTTTTTTTTTTTTAATTGAAAGCAGAGTTACAGAAAAGGTCTTTCATCTGCTGGTTCACTCTCCAGATGGTCACACCAGCTATGGCTGGCCGGGCCAAGTTAGGAGCCTGGAACTCCATCTATGTCTCCCATGTGAGTGCAGGGGCCCGAGCATTTGGGCCATCTTCCACTTATTTCCCAGGTACGTTAGGAGAGAACTGGATCAGAAATGGAGCAGTCAGGATCAGAACTGGTGCTGATATGGGATGCTGACATTGCAGGCAGTGACTTAACCCACTCTACCACAACACTGGCCCCTGTAAGTGACATTTTCTTTCTTTCTTTTTTTTTTTAAGATTTATTTTATTTCAAAGTCAGAGTTACAGAGAGAGGTAGAGCCAGAGAGAGAGAGATCTTCCATCCACTGGTTCACTCCCCAAATGACTGAACTTATCTGAAGCTACCAGCCAGGAGCTTCTGACAGATCTCCCAACTGGGTGCAGGGCCCCAAGCACTTGGGCCATCTTCCACTGCTTTCCTAGACCATAGAAGAGAGCTGCATCAGAAGTGGAGCAGCCAGGACTCAAACTGGCACACATATGGGATGCTAACCCTGCAGGTCGGGGCTTTAACCCACTGCGCCACAGCACTGGCCCCTGTAGGTAACATTTTCATTTTTTTATTTTTTTTATTTTTATTTTTTTTTTGACAGGCAGAGTGGACAGTGAGAGAGAGAGAGACAGAAAGGTCTTCCTTTGCCGTTGGTTCACCCTCCAATGGCTGCCGTGGCCGGCGCGCTGCGGCCGGCACACTGCGCTGATCTGAAGGCAGGAGCCAGGAGCCAGGAGCCAGGTGCTTTTCCTGGTCTCCCATGGGGTGCAGGGCCCAAGCACCTGGGCCATCCTCCACTGCACTCCCTGGCCACAGCAGAGGGCTGGCCTGGAAGAGGGGCAACCGGGGCAGAATCCGGCGCCCCGACCGGGACTAGAACCCGGTGTGCCGGCGCCGCTAGGCGGAGGATTAGCCTAGTGAGCCGCGGCGCCGGCCCCCCTGTAGGTAACATTTTCAAAAACTCAAGATGTTTTTAATTTCTTGCCATTCTGAAATTTCACAGTCATGCTGTACTAGGATTAAATCAGGAGAGAGAAACCATATGAAGATGGGGAATTTAATGAGAGGCATTATTCCCTGGTACAGGGGATTATCTACTAAGAGGGATGAGGAATGCAGACACATCAGATGTAAGGAGCTCCCTCATACCTGCACTGCTAAGGGGAGAGCCCAGGAAAGAATAAACATGGAAGAGAACTTTCAGTTAAGTTGACAATCAGACCTCGGTGGAAAGGGTGTCGGTGTGGCCCACTGGATGGCAGAGGAAGTTGCTGAAATACAGGCCAGCAAACAGGAAGTCCCCCCTCGAGGATGCTATCAGTGTCCCGGGAAGCTGCCCTCTGGGTTGCTGGCCAAATTTTCTGGTGAGTATGAACCGCTAGATTTCTTATACACCACCAGGAAAAAAGCATATGTTGGCTACTTTCTGGGGTTGATCTTTTATACAAAGGTTCGTGGAAAAATGCAGATAATGAAAAAATTATGCAAGTATTTCAATTTTTGGCACCAAAATGAATGCATACTAACTCTTTACAACATGTCTGCACAGGGTCTAGCTTGAGGCACTAAGAAGGATAAGGCATCATTGGAAAAGAGCCCCTATCAGAGCACCATGAATTCTGCTAAAATTGAAGCAAGGACAAACATCACATTCATGGTGAAGCTTGCATGGAGGAATGCTGCAATCACTGATGATTTACAAAAACTTGGTAGACACAGTGCCCCAAAGAAATCAGCCGTTTACATATGTATTAGGAGAGATGAGGCAATGTTGAAGATGAAGCCTGCAACAGCAGACCACCACATCAGTTTGCAAGGGAAAATCTTGTTCATGCCCTAATAGTAGAGGGCTGATGATCAACAACAATAACCAAAACCATATGTGGAATCTAATCTTTATTCATGTACTGTTACTTATTTCAAAGGCAGAAAACACACACACACACACAGAAAGAGAGAGAGAGAGAGACAAGGAATCTTCCATTTGCTGAGTTACTTTCCAAATGCCTGCAACAGCCAGGTTGAAGCCAAGAACCTGGAACTCAATCCGGGTGTCCCACGTGAGCAGCAGAGACCCAAGTACTTGCACCATCACCTGTTGCTTCTCAGGGTTTGCATTAGCAGAAAGCTGGAATCAGAAGCAGAGCAGGAACGTGACCCCAGGCGTCTGACTGGGGACGTGGACAGGCAAGCAGTGTCTGAACTGCTTCACCAAATTAACGCCTGCCCTGTGGAATCTAAGAGTAGATTTCACAGACGTGGAGAGAACAGAGGGGACAGAGCCTGGTGGGGAGGGTTAGCCACTGCTCACGAAGTGCTAGTTAGATAGCAGAAGTAAGCTCGAGTGGTCTGCACAACAAAGTGACTATAGCTAATGTGGATTTCAGAAATCCAGAAGAAAGGATTTTGAATGTTTTCACCACAAAAAAATGATAAAGCTTCAGGAGATAGAAATATTTACACTGATGTGAACAGTATACGATTCGTATGTGTATCAAAACATCACATGGTAACTACAAAAATGTACAATTTTAAATGTAAATTTAAGAATAAATTAGAATAGTTAAATATACACATACCAAGTGACCCAGCCATTCTACTCTTATGTATTTACCCCCAAAAATGAAAGTCTGCTTCTATACAAAGTCTTACATATGAATATTCTTTATAGCCTTATTTGTGATAGTCCAAAATTGGAAATAACCCTTGTGTCCATCAACAGGTGAATGAATGAATTGTAGTAAATTAATGCACTGAATATTACTTAAAAATAAAAAGACTAATGGGGCCGGCGCTGTGGCGTAGTGGGTAAAGCCACCTCCTGCAGTGCCAGCATCCCATATGGGTGACAGTTTCAAGTCCCAGCAGCTCCACTTCCAATCCAGCTCTTTACTATGGCCTGGGAAAACAAGTAGAAGATGGCCCAAGTCCTTAGGCCCCTGCACCTGTATGGGAGACCCAGAGGAAGCTCCTGGCTCCTGGCTTCAGATCAGCACCGTTTCGGCCGTTGCAGACATTTGGGGAGTGAACCAGTGGATGGAAGACTCTC